GAGGTAGTTGATGACCTTCTTGTTTTACTATCCTCAAATGCACCCTTCTGGTTCAGTCCCTGTGTGAAGTTCTAGAGCGCTTTCCTTTGGTTTTCCACTGGCATTCAGCACCTTCTGCCTTCTCCCACTGCCTTTGGTGATGAAATGCTTGTGTAGAGGGCAGCCCTAGCCCAGTGTGCTAGGCTGTGCAGTCTGAAAAGTGCCTGTCTCTATCTGGCTGGCCTAAGACTCAGCTATCGTGGTGCAAGCAGGCAACGCTCTTATGCTGCACTTACAGAATGCTGTCTTTTTTTTCCTTTTAAAAATACAGAGAAAGAAAAATTAGAAAACAGTCAGGTGAGGATCACAAAAGATCCAGAAAAATCTCGCTTTGAGCCAGTATCATGCCTCTTGTTTTAAACTGATTGAAGATTTTTCTTTTTTTTTTTTTTTCTGTGCCATGCCCTTTCTGCTAGGACTGGAAGATAAGTGCAATGATCTGCTGATGAAGAAGTTTGGCTGGCTGGTGGATTTTGAAGCGGTTCAAGCACGCTCTGTTAACATACGCATGGAAGAGTTGGAAGCACAAATAATGGAGAAAGAATATGTGCACTCCCAGGAGCTCAAAGAGTGGGAGGTAAGGAGCAGGAAAAGGAGGAAGACCTAAGTGTTATGATGATCTGTTAAGGCTTCATTTCCCTGCGGCTGAATAGTTACATGTTTTGTGAACATGTTCCTGTTTGGGTTTTTCCACCTGTCATTAATAGACCATAATGTCCAACTCCTATTTCCCATCATCATTCCTACCTCTGCTCCAGTTGCCGCTACGCTTCCTATTTTCTCATGGAGGTAGTTGATGACCTTCTTGTTTTACTATCCTCAAATGCACCCTTCTGGTTCAGTCCCTGTGTGAAGTTCTAGAGCGCTTTCCTTTGGTTTTCCACTGGCATTCAGCACCTTCTGCCTTCTCCCACTGCCTTTGGTGATGAAATGCTTGTGTAGAGGGCAGCCCTAGCCCAGTGTGCTAGGCTGTGCAGTCTGAAAAGTGCCTGTCTCTATCTGGCTGGCCTAAGACTCAGCTATCGTGGTGCAAGCAGGCAACGCTCTTATGCTGCACTTACAGAATGCTGTCTTTTTTTTCCTTTTAAAAATACAGAGAAAGAAAAATTAGAAAACAGTCAGGTGAGGATCACAAAAGATCCAGAAAAATCTCGCTTTGAGCCAGTATCATGCCTCTTGTTTTAAACTGATTGAAGATTTTTCTTTTTTTTTTTTTCCCCCTCTCTGAGCAGTAAAACATCAGCACCTTTATACATGTATTTAATATGTTTTGTGATGTCTACATTTTCCTGCTCATGTCAGTTGGCAACACATTCTGGCCTTAGCCTTGCTGGTTCACTATTGACTGCTCCTTAGGGAAGTTCGTCTGGTATCCTTCAATGCGGCATGCATCTAGATCTGGCTCAAGACTTTTCTAACTGACGTCAGCAAGGACACAAGTACGTTTGTAATGAACTGTCCTGGCCACTACTTGCATGTTTTTGTAGCACGACACGTTTCCAGGGAAGTAGAGTCTTCAAGCAGGTTCGCGGTTCCTTGCTCTCCTGGTTGTCCTGTGTTTGTAGGTAGGCAAAGAACCCCTGTCCTGCCTTTTGGATATGATAGCCAAATCTCAAAGTGGAAACTCATAGCCCCAGCCTTCTCTGTTCCTCTTCTATGCTGGCTTGTGGCAGGTGTAGGAACCAGCACAATACCTAGTGCACAGATGAAAGTATTACATACCTAATGGTTTTCTCTTTCCTACGCTTTTGCCAAACTGCTTTACCTAAATACTTAGGCATTTGCAATATTTAAAAAAAAAAAAAAGAAGAAGAAAAAGACAGGTTGCACTAAAGGTACTGTTGGATCAGGTGGTGTATGCAGGATCAGTCTGTTGTTTACCTCCCTTCTGTGACACTTACATTGTGCCTAGCACTTTTTCCCTACTTCATACTTTTTGTCCTCTCTCATCCCGGCTCAACCTTTTGTATCTTTCTAGGAAAGAATCTTAGACCTGCGGCAGCAGCTAATGAAGCTGACAAAGGAAAACTCCAGCAAGCTGCAGCAGCTGAACCGGTTCTACCTTGAAAAGCAGCAACTTGAAGCTAAGCTGGATTCACTAAAGAATGACCTGGTAAGCTTTTTAGCCACTGTATTGCATGCAGGGTTGAGACTGTTCAGAAATGGGTAAGGGATCATCTGGCCCTCACCAGCTCTCTGGCTTCGCGTCCTACTCTGCAGTCAGCAGTTTGAGCTAATATTTCCCAGTGGCACAGGCTTAGTGGCTGCTCCAGGTCTGGTAGAAAGGGAGATGAATGAGCTGATCCTGAAGCTTCTCTGCTAATTTCTTACTTAGATGCTTCCTAATACTGAAAGAAACTCATCTTATTTCTAATTAGAAAACATCTTGCAGCAGGTCAAATTTATTCCTTTGTTACATGGAAACAGCCAAATGAAATAATCTTTGCTCTGTCTTAGCGAATAAGGCATCTACTCATGACAGTCTGAGTCTAAGTTAGTGGTCCCTTACTCTGACTTCCAAGTAGTTCTGACTGAGAGCAGAGAATCATGAAGCTGTCCTGCCTCGTGGAAAGCTTCACTTTCCTGCTTGAAATAAATTTCCACCGTGCATTCTCCCATGTTTTATAGGAGTTATTTTTCTCCCTCTCTTTCCAGGGAGTAGAATTTCAGGGCCCCCGAACTACCGACATCAAAGAGAAGGCCAGGCTGGAAGCACGGCTTAAGCACAGGGCTTGTGACACAGCCCTCCTAAGAGAAGAAATCAATCTTCTAAGCAGAAAAGATGGGCGCTTAAGAGAAGAACTTGCTCTCCTTAGCAGAAAAGATGGGTGCCGCTTTCTACAACCTTCATCACCACAGGACTCTGAGACACCAGCTGAAACGTTCCCCGTCCTTACACCAGAAACGGTAACTAACAGTCCAAGTCTCCCTTAAAAATGGACACGGTTAACTGTGGCAGTAGTTTAATACCTGGAAGTGTGAAATTAATTGCTTTGGCTATACAGGGGTTTAGTTGTAAAGGGTTACATTTGTTTCCGCTATCAAAATATGACTGACTGTAGCGGCAGATACGGAATAAAAAAGTGCAACTACAACCAGTAAATGCTGTTACCAGTCCATTGCAGAGATTTGCACTGGGCAGATGCCCTGTGCACGTGTGTGCCTGTCTGTCCTTCAGAACAGTGGCTGATGAAGGCTGGATACGAGAGTTTCACGAGGGCAAAACCAGCTTTGGTACCTGTGTTCTCAAAAATACAAAGAGGCCTGCCTTATAGGTGTGTTTTGTTAGTTGCTGAATATCCTAGCAGCAATGGTAGTTCTCTGCTAACTGAGCTAGTTAGAGCCAAGGGAAGTGCTGTTTTTTTGGAGAAAGCAAAGGGACCCTTTCTCCTCAGGGCCTACAGTGCTCAGATGGGTATGGAGCCAGTCAAAGACTTTCCCGCTTGCCTCTGCTTTGTAGCAATAGGAAGCCAGCTATAGTGCAGGACGTGGCATTTACCTGGCATGAGGAGGGTATAGCAAATGCAAAGTCAGCCTGTAATTCCACTGGCTTGCAGCTGCCTGAGCAGAGTGAGAGCCAGGCTCTGTACGTTTTCAGGTTTTATTCTTTCTTTTTCTTTCTCTGGCATTCAGCATGGTGGCAGTGCATGACCGTTTACAGCATGTACCCTGTCTTACCGTGAAAACTTCCTTCAACCCCCAAAGCGGAGGGCTTGTGCTGCACAGTTCTTCCAGTGCAAAGCTTCTGAGGGCCTACAGGGAGGCTTGGGGTTTGTTGCTAGTTTTTAATTAAATAGATTGAACAACCTGCAGCTGCTCTTGCTCTTCCTTCCCACTCCCTGCCTTTTGCCACTGGTCTTTGTACACCAGACCGAGGAGCATTCAGCCAGGATCCAACCGTCTCCCAACCAGGCTCAAGAACTGCCACTGCTGCCCCCAGCACAACTTGTGCTGCCTGCCTTTTCGGTGGGTCCTGATGAAGGTGCTGAGCATCCTCTGTTTCCTTAGGGGAAAAAAACCCCACCCTTATCCACAGGCCTGGATGATGAAAGCTTTTGAAGCTGGAAAACCACAGGATGGAGGGGTGGGGAATAAGGAAACAAAATTTGCAGAGATTTGGGGGTCAGCCTGCCTCCTCCCCCCTTCATCAAACTCATGCAGCTGTTGTTGGATATAAATGAAAATTTTCTCCAGCTGTGCTCCTTACTAGAAGTTTTATGTCACTTAACTGGCACAGGCAGTGGCTGTCTCTTTTCTCCTGAGCTCAGCATTGAGAAGGTGTGCGTGGGTGTCTATTTGGAAAACTGTAACTGCAGGAAAACATCACCTTTCCCCAGGTGTCCTGCCTGCTGTGTGTCTGGAAGTAAAAAACAAGTAGGTTCATGCTGTGGGAGGATTTAGCATACAGCCAGCCACAGAAAAGACTATAAAGCCTTTATTTTAGATGTTAAAGCATGGGTTTGTCTTTACAGATACGCGGCTGCAGATGGCGTGTATGTGAAGGGTTGTTTAAGTTGATTAGGCAGAGTGCACAACTCCAGTCCATGCACAGGAGTGTGTTCCTGGGACAAACCTTCCTGCAGGGGTGAGGAATAGACCTTTTAGAGAGCGTTATCTTTTGTGAAGCCCTCACTGCAAGAGGGCGCTCTGCAAGAAGGTGTTTGATCTTGGTGGTGGCAGCTCTGTTTGGACCCATGTCCTGCGACGTCTCTTGTGCTGCTCTTCTAGTCTTGTGCTCTGATGAACAGCCCGGTGGCATGGGCAGCTGCTGCCCTGAGCGGCTTGGGTCCTCCTGCAACTTTGCTGAGGATGCCTTCTGTCTCCATAGCATTATAAAAGGCGCATATACATCTATATACAAGTGCATAAATATATAAATAGGGGTGTTATACAAAAATAAATACCCATTCTCTCTTTCTCTTTAGAATAAGTCTTTTTTGCAAAAAAAGGCAGCTCGGTCCCTAGCTAGTAGGAGAATGAGTCTCTAAGGGCCGCAGTGGTGGCGGGCTGCTCTTCAGATGTCTTGGTAGGTCCTGAGCCAAAGATGTGATCATTGGATTCTGGGGATGGAGATCTCCTCTGGACTGGCAGCAACCTAGTCTTTCTACCTCTTCAACTGGCACTAGGCCGAGGCAGCAAGGGCTTCCTGAAAGGGAAGGAGCAAGAAATGATTACGATGCATACAGAAATGAGAGACGCTGTGGTGGCTTTCTAGTCAACAGTCCACTTTATGAGGATAGGTACTCTCATCAAAGAGGAAGAACTGCATTCTGAAAGTCCTGGCTGCGTGGGAGTTTGATCCTGCGCTTCCACACAAGTTTGATCCACACTAGAGGTGGATCAGATCCTAGGGAGATGGATTCACGTAATTTTTCGAGGACCTTGTTGTTTTACTGGCTGTCTGGAAAACGCAAAATTAAGGACTAAAGGACAGTGTCTCTGCAACTGCAGATGGGTATGTGCCCTTCTGGCAGCATACAGCTCAAGTGTTTGGAGAAATCTGTCTTCTAAAGCTGACTGAGACAATTTACAGTCCCCAGCGCAGCCTTTCCATCCTGTTGTTCTATGCAGTGTTAAAACAGTCCTTGCCCCACAGAAGCAAGCGCGACCAGTGCCATCAAAGGCCCTACAGTGAGATTTCCCTTCAAGATCAGCCTAAAACGTTGAGATGAAGCAAGCACTGAGTTTTCCAGGCCACTGACCTTGGTGGAACAGGGGATCCCGTCGACCATCCAGGCTAGGGCCTCCCACTTTGCTGCCCATCACTGGAGGATGGAGGCCAACAAAGTGCTCTTGAAGGTGAGGACAGTCATCCTGTGGCTGAAGAAGCTGGTGAGTGGAGTCATCTGGAAGACTGTAGAGGAAAGAGCTGTCTTCTGTTCTTGAGTTGGGCAACCTGGGGAGGCAGACAAAGAGTTTTAGCATTATTCGCAGATCTTTCCTCCTTGAAAGATATGACCCGTGTAACACCTCAGCCAGCTGCATCAATGCAATGACACAAAGCATTCCTACATGAGGGGAAGGGCAGAAATGGGGATCTACTTGTGGGGTGGGAACGAGGTGATAGAATCTTGTATCTGCGATTCAACATCTTGTGTGTGCCACAGGAGGTGGGAAGAGTAGTGCCTCCCAGGGAGCATGAGAATAATGATGTGGCAGCTGAACAGCAAGACACAGGACACCTGCAATCGGACCCTGGCCAGATTCTGGGGCAGCTGTTTATCAGCTTCCAGTCGTAGATGTTAGCTTCTCTCATCCTACTTTTCAGTCTCCCACTTAGGAGCAGGGGGAGGGAAAGGGGGCAGGGGAAAGTAGGTCTTGACCATCTCTAAAATTAAATTATCCCTCCCTTAAACCGTAAGAGGAAGGAGATGTCCGAAGAGAATTTAGACCAAGAAGGCCTAGTGCTGGGGCATGGATTTGTTTCCCAAGTGAATTGGGACAGATGGGTGCTGAGGGCGAGCTTTTGTGAGCGTGTAGTCTTGTGGGCCCCACTGGACTGTTCCATTCTTCCCCTCCATAAGCCAGGACTAACCTGGAGGGCTGGTAGTCTTGCTGGGCATTCCCGTTTTGCAGCACTCTCGCCTGCAGCAAGGCGTTGGTCTCCTCGTGTGACTGGAAGGAGAGAGAAGGGTTCTCAGCAGAGCAACGCCACACAGCAGCATTAAGAGACAGGTGCTGATCTGGGAGCCAGAGCCGTGGGGAAGACTGGTGAAGCTCTCATGACAGAAGGCAGAGAAAGCTGCAACTGTTTCTTTTGCTACAGAGGACAGAGTGGAACTGAACAACTCACTTCATGCTTACTGCTGAATCGGTGGGGGATGATAACCAATTTATAGTCTCAGCTGTGGCACTGCCTTGGCCTGTGTTACTATTTACACACAGAGTCCTCAACACTGTCAGTGCCTCTGAGCTCTGCTCAGGAGAAACAGGAACCCTTAGGAGTAGCCTTTTCTCACTGTCTCCTCAGTACTTAGAGCCACTGCCCCAAGAAACACCTCCTCACTAATGTTTTGGAGACCTTCCCGTCCCTCCCATGTCTCAGACTCTGCTGCAAAGGGGGAATCTCTTTTAAGAAGCCAGTCTTGCCATGTCCACCTGCTGCAAAGGGGGCCAGGCATGTCTGGAGAAGCCCTCTCACCACAATCACAGCCTCCAGCTCATGTCAAACCAACTGTTAACCGCAGGTGCAGACATACCTGTGGCACTTCATCGGGGCAGTAATCTCTGGGCTTGGTGCTTGCATAGCCCACTCCTGCAGCGGGGCAGATGCCATTCAGGTGTGCCCCGTTGGCATAGGCCTGCCCGTTAACGTAGGGATGTCCATTGGCACGAGGAGCAGAGATGCCCCTCAGCGGCACCATAGTGTACTGGCAGGATGATACCAGCAGCCCGGCTCCTGGGAAGCCCATGTCAATGGTTTGCTCTGCAGAGGGAGGAAAAAGGAAGTCTGAGGCCAAAAGCAGAGGTAAAGTTGAGCTTCTTGAAGCTCAGCAGGGATAGCATTAGGCTTCCCATCAGCAGCTGTTTTGGCACCCAAAGCACCCTTGATGACAAAAGGTGGAAAGGGGCCCTTACAGGAAGGAAAAGGGAGTGCCCCTTTCCACTGGCTCTAGTCCCAGGGTTCCTTCTCAGCAAGGTAAGCAGGACAAGGGACAAATGGCGGCCTTTGTCTTTATTGCATTCCATGCGACATTTGGAATTTGCCCTCTGCCCACCCCCTCCCTGCTTCCCAGCAGCCCTCCCTCGCATTTTGGGTGTTTGACCCAACTACCCACAGGTCAGAGCATATCTGGTAAATCAGGCCTCAAGAAAGAACCCTTACTCTGCTTGGACCAGGCTCTCCAAAGGCAAAAGGGGATGAAGGCCACGATGAGGAGTACGATAGAGCCCAGCACAACGCCTACAATCAAGTATGGCAAGTCGCTGGAACGGGCCACCATAGCTCCCGTCCCCAGGCCACTGTGCCCACCACTGAGTGGGGGACGCTGCCGGGGCGGCACTGTTGAGGGTGGAAGACGACCTGGCAGACCAAGAGACTTCCGAGCTGCGAAGGGAATGGAGAGAGAACATTAGAGACAGACATAGCAGATGGAAGAGCAGCACGTGCCAGGGTGTCTATGCTGCTGTGGAGTGGACAGACTTCTACAGTGGCTTTAAAGTGCTCCTGTATTCCAGAGGATTTCCTAGGCTGATGCATATCACAGTGCAGACAAGTCCTTTGTGCTTGGCTTACAGATCTGCCAGGGTCTTGGGCTGCTAAAGCAAAAGGAAAAAAGCAAAACAGCTTCTTCAAAACACCCCCTTGGACCTAATGCTGTTCCTATCATGAAAGTGCGGCTGCTTGGAAGACGACGTAGGATCTGCTTATAACCAAACGCAGGAATTGGGAACAGCAAGGGAAAGTTATCCCTTCTGGTTCCAGCCACCGTCTATGTGACACTTAGGAAAACAAAAGGTAACTACTGCTGTGAGGGAAACGGTGATGGACTCTGCAGAAGGGGTCTGAGTACTGGTATGCGTACGTACACATACTGAGCAACAGCACCAACAAACCTATACCTCTCTCCTCCCCAGTGCTGCCTCCACCTCCTTGCCCAAGCTTGGATGACGCGCCCTCAGGCAGGGATGGTACCTGCTTGGCTGTGCCCTGACAGGGGAAGGCAGCAGGCAGGGAAGACAGCAGATGGGGCTCCCAGAGGCACCCTGTGAGGCTGGTTACCTTTGGTTTCACAGATCATTACGTTGCTGAACTCGCTTTCACCACCCTCATTGAAGCACTGCATCTTAATGTCATACGAGGTCTCCGGCTGCAGGTGGCTGATGGAGTGCCAGTACCGATCTCCTGAGGAGGGAATACACACACGGTGCCATTAGCTTCCTTGGGAAGCAGGCCTGGACCATAGCAGCCTTGTGGCCTTTTGTGCACAGGGCTCCTTCTGGCCAAGTACTCTTCCAGAAGGAACCAACAGCTGGGACTGGTCTCCCAATATCTCCTACCTTCCACCACGTCCTTCTTGTAGTCGCTGTCATTGTCACTGTCAGTGGGGCGGTAGTAGATGTAAAAACCATGGATGGGAGTGTTGTTGTTGCTGGCTGGGATATACTGCAGAGGATGGGAGGGAGAGCAGAAATTACCAGAGATGTCTCTGCTCCATATCATAGTAGGTGGGGAGCAGTGGGGGTAAACGGGATGGGAGAGGAGGAAGACCCAGCAGGGAGATCTTCCTTGTGTTGCTGCTGGTTTGCACAGCAAGAGCTTCCTTCCAAGAGCTCAGGGCTGTTTTACACTCTCACACCTCACTTTTCTCAGACAGTCCATGAGTCTGGTCCTGTCCCCCTAAGCATCCAGTACTCTTCTCCCTCCCCGCAGCCACAGCCAACGCTTCCGAGAAAAAATTCCTCAGCAACAGCGACTCAGCTGGGCAAGGACAAGCGCACATTCACCTTGGCTCCAGTAGGCTCATGGCTTCCAGACAAACTGCATCTTGCCATGAACTGGTGAATGCAGGACTCTTGTGTTTCTCAAGACAGCTCTGTTCCTCCCCCACCCAGGGCAGTACTGTCCCAACTCCATGGGTTCTTGCCATCTTTGCAAGTGTTTTATCAGCTACTGTTTGTGTCTACATGAACAGCAGCGCCCATCCTGCCCTGTAGCAATTTCTGGCTAGAAGCAGCTGGGAGAGAAGAGGGCAATGCATCCCTCTGAATAAGCTCTAAGCTGTTGGAAACACTTGGATCTGGGCTTGTGATCCAAAAGATCCTGCCCACTCCTAAAGATCCTCTGGGCTGGACTGCTGTAAATGATTATCAGCAATTAATTAGGACTGCTACCCAGCAAGTGAGAGTGAAGGACACATCTCCCAGAAGCTACTGGGACAGACAGAGATGCCAACAGATTCCAGGAACTTGGCCATGAGAGCAAGCAGCTGCCCCATACGTTTTTGAACTGTGCTTGTTGAACAAAATGGTCTCAAGACCCTGAGGTTATCTGCTGAGATGCCTCCTGTGTACAATGTCAGATTCAGATGAAAAGGGTTTCCTAGGCTCTCTGACTTCCCCATTTCTGTGTGGACCAAACCCAGTCCTCCTTTGCCAGAGGGAGCTGTTGGATCCCAGATCCATTTGTGCTGGTGACAGGCTCCAGTGCAGTAACCTGGAGGGTGTGTAATCTGGTCAAGCAGCACCCACACACCTGCTTCCTGCACGCTCAGAGATCTCCACCCCTACAAACCTTACCATCCACTTCAGCATGATGGTGGTCTCATTGATGGCATCTGTGAAGGTGATGTACGGGCCGGCCACAGGGCGCTCGTAGACTCGGTTGCTGTACCCGGACACCACATATGGCCGAGACGCTGCACTGGGCTCGCTCTCTCCCAGGATGTTCAGTGCCCGGACACGGAATTTATAGGACGTGCCTGGGGTAAAAATGGGAAATAAAAAGAGTTGCAGAGATTGGAGTCTTCCAAGATTTCTACTATCAGCACAGGCCTGACTGTGGAGAGGGGCTGCATCTTCTCCAGAAAGCAGAGAGCCTACAAAGAGGTTTTGATTGAAGTACAAACACCAAACAGCCAGATTTCAGCCACGTGCTAGATGGAGCCTGCTTTTATTTGCCTTCCCCAGTTCCTGTCTGAATGGTCTAGAGGTCAGACAGCAGTTCTGCAAGGTGTGTGGGTGGATTCAGAGACGCCTGAAAGGCTGTCCTGACCCAAAAGCAGGTATGGGAAGGCATCCTTCCTCTGCTACAGGGAAATTAAGTACATAAACATTGGTTAAAAACAAAAAGCCTGAATAATTTTTAACCAAATATCATTTGACTGGTTTTTAAGGTGGGGTAGATATCTTGCCCTTTTAAGCTGTTCAGCTCAGCGCTGCCGCCTTTTCTCATGTGAAGTGCAATGGGAATTGTGTGCCCATCTGTCTTGCCTATGGCTAAGGAAGGGTCTGTACGGTCTAGTAAATGGCAAAACCAAACGCCTTTAGTAACTATATCCTGTAATACAGAAAAGCATGCGCAAGCCTCCCAGAGGGAGGTCAAATCTATGCTGGTCTTTGCAGCTGGAGAAATTGGAGAAGCATCTGCAGCTTTTCCTCATGCGTCTAAGTCTGGAGCTGGGGAGGGCTTTGTTTTTGCTCGCACATGCCGGGGCTAAGCATGACGTGACAGATGGCGAACCATCCCACAGGGACCGCACTCCTTTCCCACAGACCTCCAGGAAGCAGGGAGGAGAACACCTGCCTACCTTTCTCCAGGCCTGGGATTTCCACAGAGAGGCGAGAGGGAGGAATGTCACTGGTGGCCAGGACCCAGTCTCCCAACTTCTTCAATTTCTTATATTCCACACGGAAAGACTGGATGGGGAACCCACCATTCCCACGGGGGATCCAGGTCACATACACAGATGTCTCTGATGCCATGGAAATGGTTGGACGGTCCGGTGCCTCTGGAGCTGCAGGGGGCACAGAAGGACATCAGGACATGAAACACGTTCCTCTCAGCCTGGCTGGAGGATCCTGTACTATGTGGGTATGCATAGGGACTACCTGCATTGCACCCACCCAACCGC